TTGATGAAAGTTGGTTGGTTACAAACCTGGTGGGTTCCAACACATGATTATACAATGGATGTGACTGGATGAACTGTATGCAAACGGTGTACATGAGGTCGTCGTGTTGGTCAGATCTGGGCAGTTGAAATCACACATCATTAGAATGTGATTGAAATTCAATGATAAGAAATAAGACATTGTTTGCAATAAATTCTGATTTGATGAATCTGCTGACGAAGGAAGACAATAAACTACACCGATCAGCCCCGATATCATGTTGTGTTAGCTTCAAGTTACACCATAAATTATCGGAAGCAGCGAACGGGCACTCAATTTGCCCGCATTGCAAGCTGTTACGATAATAGAGCAACACGCCCCCACCTCGCGGTGGACGATCACGTCTTAATAGCTCCATGCCTGGTAATCGCAGATCGGAATCCAAAATGTCGGTCGTCAACCAGGTTTCGGTTACGGCAATGAGATTCCGTCTACCGGTCCGACAACGTAGTTCCACTTCTGGAAACGTATTGAGAAAACCCTGAGAGTTGGTTTGGAAACAGTTCAGTCGTTGTCGGTGTAGAAATCCCTTGGAGTTTAGAGACGTCATTTGGCCCACCTCTTCATCGGCCGGTAGACGTTATTTGTCGTAGGTAATTGTTGGATTTGGTCTGACAGGGTCGGAGTGGAGCATAAAGTTTGTAGTGGTTTACGTGCAATGTGATTGACAGTTTCGACAGGTAGATAATTTTTCGGTCCTGAACTCAACATCGGTCTTACGTGTACTTCTTTGGGTCCTCTGGTTCTGTGTTCATACCATGACCGGAGCAGTGTGCTTACCAGTTCTGGTGTCCCAAGAGTTACTTTCAGTATTTGCGGGCCATCTCCGCGATAGTTGGGAGAACGCGGAAGGCGTTTAATGGTCGTGGTCGAGACCTTGCGGCACTCTAACAATTCTTGAATGAAGCGCCATTCGTTCAAATCACTATTTTGACAGTTGGATTCATCGGATTCGGGGAGCTGTGGCACTCCATGTATGAAAATAGTCCGCGAGTTATCTGCATCGTGCGCACTATTAGGATCTTTCCGTCGATGTATACGCTTGGTTCACGGTCTGTCCGGTAAAATTCTGACTTATTCAGCTCTATGCCAACACCAACTATCGAACCAGCNCCAGCCACAGTCGTGAAACAGCTGCTGAAAACTAAGTTGAATTAAGCATCAGGCCCTAATGAACTATCACCAGTAGTACTCAATGTATGTGTGGACATCCTTTCAGCCCCAATGTCAAAAATATTCAATGACTGTCTTATAAGCGGTAAAATCCCTGATATTTGGAGACTGACCAAGATAACTCCCGTTCCAAAAAAGGAATCTGGGAAATATCATCCCATCGCCTGCACGTCAGTCATGCTCAAATTATTTGAGAGATGCTTATNCACTGAGTCTGACGAAGATGACATATATCAATTTGCATATAGGTCTTTGTGGTCAACACTTAAGGCTGTTGCATATCTTGTTCATTCAATAATCTCGACACTAAATAAGAAAAGTAAAACCCTCAGAATGGTGTTCTTATGCTACAAAAACGCTTTCGGCAGTCTTGATCGATCAGTATTGTTCAACCTGATTACTGAAAGTGGTGTAAATTCAAATGTTAGCAGACTGATCTGCGATTATTTCACAGATAGAAGGCAGTTTACATGCCTCAACGGCAAAAAGTCCTCCACTCGCCCAGTTTCTTCTGGTGTCCTGCAAGGTGCAATATTTTCTGCATTTTTCTTTTCAGTGCATGTCAAACAATTTCTCATTCCTTCTGCATTCATTGACTGTAAGTACGCAGATGATGTTGTTTTAGGTTGCAAAGCATCCACCTCTGAAGAGGCTTCAGAAATTCAAAGCAAGCTAAACGACTTTGTCACTTGCTCCTTGTCCCGTTCCCTCCCATTGAATGCCTCTAAATATCAGGATTTTGTGTTTTCCCTTTTGATTGATGTACCATATTCAGCCCTCACAGAGAGATTCCCCACCGTCTCTGCCGTACCGAAATCAACAATATTAAAATGCCTTGGCATCACCTTATCACACAATTTATCATGGTCACTGTATGTTCAAAACACATTCTGTAAAATTAGAAAGCCTTCATATTTTGAACTCCGATTACGATTACTTTCTGTCCCCCTCAAGCTGATTGTTAGATTAGTGGATGCCTGCGTGCTACCCCACTGGTTGGATTACGCCCCCAGTGATTTTTCCGGGATATTAAAGAGACTTATTTACTGGCGAAAACTCGGAAGCACATCTCTAAATGCAGTGGCATTGTGAGGGATAAACTCGCCGATTCCATCATAGACAGATACCTACAAGCATGCGAAAGTTTCACTGCCAAAATACTCTCAGACACTCACCAAACATTACACAACGAATTTTCAAAACCTATATCTACATCATCCACACGCCGAAGATTTAAACTTCTATTTGCACATACCTCTGCTTATTGTAATTCTTTTCTGCCATATCTATCACGTCTACTTATTGACAAGGAGAAAATTTCCACAGAATTACGCAAATACTTGCTTCATTGACAAAAATTATGTAATGATTTAGTAAATTTGAATCCACAAATACGATGCAAATGCTGAAAATTTACCCATCCTGGTGCATAAATCTACTACTGACTTGAGTTGGTATTGCTGGACCCATCTACAATGAGAAAACTAGAAAGAAGAACATTTTCCACGTCTTCTTCACTGGCCAGCGTCACACAAATTAACCTGAGTTCTCCTATGTGTGGTAATGTCGGTTGATGCCAGAGATGTGTAAGGCTCACCGGTTTGGCTTATACACCCATTCGGGCAGATACCTCTGTCCAGCGACTCAGCTCGTCCTGTTGCCTCTCTCTCTCAATGATTGACTTGAGGGTTCTGGGAGATTTGTACAAATTACCTTGAGTGCACTGTTGCCACCTACTCTCTTGTTCAGTTGTGACGGTATAGCAGGTTGCGATTGACGTTTAGGTGGCGGTTCTTTGACTACAGGTACCGAAACTTCGACCGTTGGTTTCCTCGTGGCTATTGGAGAGGAAGTGATACGCGCCACATCTTGATTTGTTTTATAAAAGGCAGATCACAAACGTTTTGGCAGCCTTGGGTTTGAGCTTTCGGGAGTGATCTGGAAGCCGAGGGTCTTTATCTTCTTTCCGAGAGAAGCAATTTGTACTTTTGCCCTGTCCTCGACGGCCACTAATAAGTTTTCGAATCTGTGGTATATCTGTTGTGTATTTAATAATGGGCAGCTTGGAGCATTCGATACAGAACCAGAAATAATCTGACAATAGTTTTACCCTTTTTGCCGATAGTTTAGCATATGAGGGATGAAAGGATCGTATACACGTTGCGCATGAGATGCGGGTCTCCATTTCCTTTCTACACTTCAATTCACCGCACATTCCTGGTCCTATTGTGACCCCTGTAGTGGCACTAATTGACATACTTCAACGACCCTTTTCGGATTGACTGTGAAAGGCGAGATTAGCTGCGCTTGACAAAGGTCAAGTGCAATGAAAGTACACTTCCGGACCGGTCACATGTATGCGGTGATCATTCTCACTGAGGCGTAGAATAAAGACAGGTTAGCTTACGCATATCGATCGACTGAAATGGCCGTGGTGGAATGGATGCATGTGTGAGTGATTATGCAAATGGCACAAAAACTGAGTTGCACAAATATGTATCTCTAGCACACTTATTATTGGGCGTAGAAAGCTCCATTTGGATTTATTGAATGGAGCGTAAGATCTCCTTTACAATGATGTCACAATATAGACACTTTGAAGTAAAATTTTCTGTGTGAGTTGCAATCACGGAACAGTATCCAAAATACAAGATAACAGTTCACGGTTTCCTTTCCCGGTGATCTGCACCTCATACTCGTCGTATACTGCGTATCCGGAACCAACCATTGATCAACCATTGTATAACTCACATAACAGAATCAAAACGGAGTTCTGCAAACCAAATCAGACAGAGCCCGCATACTGAGCGACTGCATAGTTTGAAGTTAACCGAATCATCGTAGTTAGAGTGAGGGAAACAAGATTTAAACAAGTGCATATTTGTTTGTCACGCGTTCCCTTGTAACGAAAATGGACTACAAGTGTGGATTGATTTTGCGAAATCGCCTGCATATTACATGAACGCGTGGAAAGGAAAACCGAAGCAGTAACAAAGGAGTTTGGAGCCAATCCGAAGGCATTTCATACAACATGAACAATGTCCTAAGTTAGGAGGATCAGTTTTGTTCTTACCGCTTTAAATGGAAGTTTTATTCGCCTGTTCCCGTTTGCGTTAGTAATCAGATATATTGAAGCAATCCCGCTAATACAACAGACGATTCACGATCTCACAAAGAGCACTTAGCAGCTGTTTCGTCTTGTTTGGGACTCATCAGCAGCGCGTACTTTTTGTGTCCCTGTCAGGACTCGACACGCGATTCTTCGGGCTAGGAATTCAAAACCTTACCCGTGAGCTACACGATCGATGGGTATCACCCTGTGCGAATGGCTCAATCGATTTAGATGGTGAATGTTTGGATTAGCTCATTCGGTTTCTCACAGGCAACAGGCACTGTTGATGATTGAGCCATTTACACAGGGTGATACCCGTCTACCGTGTAGCTCAAGGGTAAGGGTTTGAATTCCCAGCCCGAAGAATCGCGGTTCAAGTCCTGACACGGACAAAAAACGTACGCAATACTGACGAGTCCCAAACAGTACGAAACAGCTGTCCAGTGCTCTTTGTTGGTTATCACAAACATTTCCATCGCACTAAAATGCAAATAAACAGTGGGGAATCAAAGATCTCTCAAGGAGCGAAACCCACATNTCGAACATCATCAGTAGTGCCTGGTGCCTGTAAAAACCCGAATGTGCTAGTTCAAACATTCACCATCTAGATTCATGATCTCCTCTAGGAATTCGCCGATTAAGCACATTTGTATTTTCTTTTGCATACTCTATCCAGATTCCGAGTAAACATATCGTTTTATTCGGACAAACGCAACCTACAAATGACTAATTACATCACGAATCCGGAATGGGTAGTGCTTCGATCCACGGCTATTTTCAGCGAAATCCGTTACGATTGTTGTCAGGAAAGATATCCGGATATTTCGTTCCATTTGTGGCTCATGCGTCACTCCGCGTTCTATACCTACATCCTGATTGTGCCAAGTGTCCTACTGTCCTCGTTAACTTCCGTTATCTTTTGGCTTCCGCCCGAATCACCATCCAAAATTGTGCTAGGTAAGTACTCGGTCTGGATTTTTGCACTAATCAGTCTTTTCATACAATTTTGCAATTACAGGTCACTTTTTTGTGACAGTCAGTTGCATCCGTGTTTAGCTTGTTATCATAGAAGCAGTTTTAGAATTTATTCAGTTTCACTGCTAACATGTACACTTTTGCACCATGTATTCAGGGACTCGTGGTTGCTTTGAGGTTTAAGAAATCCAATTCCGTAAAACGGTCCGTGGAGTTCACAGAATAATTAGAAAGAAACCCAAGTGAATAATTTGCTTTGCTGTATCCCATGCGCTGCTGATGTTACCATGGTGACCAGTTATTCGTTCCAGAAAAATAACTATAATGTTGAGGTTGAACATTTGGATAAAACTTAGAGATAAACTTGCAAGTAATTGAGTTTAAATGTCTACGTCTTAATTCACTCCTTTT